GATGGTAACAATCCTCACCGTGAGCTCTACAGAGGATACACCAATTAGGAGAAATACAGAGAAAAGGTCTTCTCTTTTGTAGGTTGTCTAAAGTGTTTACTTTCCCATGGAAAACTTCCCAACAAAAAGCCATAATTTTTGGGGGGACTGGCCTACACCAAATTTCTTTTGACGGAAAGGGTTGGTGAGTAGGATCAGGAGCACATCCAATTGTAATAGGTGCTGTGGGATTAACATGATAATGCAAAAGGAAGCAGCTCATATCATCCACGTCCTCAGAAAGAGATCCCATCAGAGTTCAGCCACCAAAAACCTAGATCACGGTGCTCCAACTGCCAAAATTGTTTCTCCAAAATTGCACATTTATATTGTAATGACCTGACAATGGTTTAAAAAACCTTGTGGTTAAAGGTGCATGATGGACCTCAATATAGAGTTCACTGGAAATCTAACTCAAATGGCTCTCATAAACCTGTCAGCGTCTATGACAAAAATAACTATAAAAGCCTATACAGGCCATTCTTGAAGAACTTCCTTTATAGTGATTCTTCTCACGTTCTTGTTCCTTCTAGACCTTTACCTTTTGACTCATTAACTTTTATAAATCAATGATAAGGATAAAATTAGAATTGAATGCATTTGTAGCAATCTATAGCTCAAATAGGTGATAGAACGAAAAGTAGACATGTCCATAGAAGACATCCTACTATACTAAGAAAGAATTGCCCGATGCAGTCCTTGATCAATTGGAATGACAAATAGGATTTCTGCAGCTGACCCTACATGATTTAAGATAATATTTTCTTGTGTTGAACCGAGTTGAGTTGAGAAGGTAGCACAGACACAACTTGACAGGGGATATGGGCCTTGATAAAGTGAAATTGTGAAATACAATTTGTGAAGTCAACCTTATATAGTTGGGATTCATTTTCATTGGGTTGAGTTGAGTAGATAGCAACAAACATGATTATAATGGAAAGGTCAAATTACATGTTTTGATGTCTGTCAATGGAACAAATATCCAATGAAAGGCCACCGATGATCTCCGAGGTTAAAAACAATGAGTTCCTAAAACCCTTGATAGCCATAAAGAAATAAACTAAGATTGCCACTTAGACCTCTTCAATTCTTTTATCAGTAATAATTAAGATTCTATTAGCATATAAAAAGATCTGTACAAACCCCACCAGTGTGAGCTTATCTTACATTGCCGGTCCCGAGCCCATATAAAAGAGGAGGGTTGTATTAAGCTGGTGCCAGCATTGAAACTTTTTGCAAACTCCTATGATCTGGGGATATGGAACCAAACAGAATGGAATGGTGAAACAGGATACATGTAAACTCCATGTAGTTGAGACAAGGCTTAGATGATGATGACGATGAACATAAAAAGATGTCTATGGAAAAGTTCCAAGCACCCCTTGTAGGTAGCTAAACTTGATTAGACTCCCACTCTGTAATATTACACTAACTTCCAATTACAAATTTCCACCCAATGAAGTTAATCCCTGTTTTTTCTAGCTCAAGTTGTTAGCTGATATCACTTAACAGTATCCATTTGTAGGTTACTCTCAATTCTGTTGCCAGTTTATTGATTTCCCTTATCATGTGTCTATATGTCCAAGACCCTGCATAATTCCTTTTATCCATCTTAGAATTACTTAGGGCTCTCCTTCAACCCACTATATCTCTGAGATTCAGAGATTGAGACATCCTTAGACCATGTAGCCAGTGTTGTATAGACTTGGACATGGGAACCCAAAAAAGTAGGATTCTTTGACATGTCTGACAAATAATAGCTAAAAAGCAGTAATCTACCCTTCCCAGTTTCTAAACACTCCCCCTATTTCTTCTGACCTCATTCTGTAAGGTGACATCATTTGTTTATGAATAACAGAAAATTATATTTCAAGAGAGAAAATTTCCTTCCTGCCCCAGAAAAGAAGGAAGACGAGTCAATCTTGTCTCAACCACCTATACTATACTTAACAACAATATGAGTGCAAGTTGGGTGTTTAGTAACTAATGTTGAAAAGTCAGATCCCACAATCCATAAGTTCTCATGAAACCAAAAGTTCATCCTCACATAAGTACCAGGTCACCAGTTTTAAGTGGGGCATGTCCTATGCACCTCTTTATGCTATGTAAGTTGTTTGTGCACAAGGGAATTCCATCCTGGGAAGCATGAGAAATAAAATCTCCAGATATGTAAAAGTCTGCACTAAATAGTGTTTTCCTGAAATGTCTATGTTCACATGTCAAGGTCACCACTGTCTGATTAACAAGAAAAAGAACAGGAATATAGGTGGAGATGATTATGCAACTATAGGAATCACATAACAAAGAAGAATAATAGATGAAGACCAACTACATGAAAAATATATTGCATACCCTCCATCTACAATTTCATCAAGGCACAAAAGAATGAGATCCAGATTTTCTAGTGCTTCTCTTTTGTCAACGTTGTTCCTACAACAAGGAGATGCTAGCATTAGAAACAATTGACGCATAAATTAGACTATCAGCATTTGAATTAAGAAGAACCAGTAAACCATGATCCTGAAAGGCGACAGTTAATGAGACCTGAGGAGAAGACCAACTGCATCAAAGAACCCCTGGAGAACGGTTGCTAAGATGAGCTCATTCTCATCATCACCACCCGTAACAAAAAAGTGTAGGTCCTGAATGAACTTATAGACCACTATATTGTTCTCGAACATTGCTATCTCCGCTGTATATAGTGAAAGAGAGGCATATTAACAAGGAAATATTTAAATAGTAAAACTAAATCAAGTATAACTCATATTCATTTATGTGATATCTGAAAACCAATTAACCAAAACTTAAATATGAATGAATTTTATGTACAGGCATGTAAGCATGTTGTTGAAATTTTGCACAGAGAAATCCATTCTTGGGTTTGATCAGGTTGTGAAAGCCTACGAGGCAAGTCCTGCAGTTTCATCTTTTACCCTGTCAACTTGCCCATGGACATTTTGCAATTTTGCACAGAGAAATTCATCTTCTTGGCCGTATGGTGTTTTGGCTTTCTTCTTATCTTTACTTGCTCAAATTTTCAGAAGATCCTTTTTATCATGGGGCCATCGGAATCGATGTCTTTGTAGTTGGCTGTTTATTTTGTAGTAACCATCTTGAGAAAAATGGGAATGGCAAGCTTGGCCTGCTATAGAGTAATCCAAATTGAGTTGGTTTCAGTCAAGTAGAGAAGTCAAAAGTTACAAACTTTGATTCATGCATTTGATTTCTGAGGTATCAATATCATGCTAAGAAAAACATTCGCTGACGCTCATAAATACATCTGAAAATTCAAAATTGCATAAACCAGAAGATGAGTAGAGGACATTTACCTTCTGTCCGAGCATTTGTCTTCTGAGTTTTAGTAAAGACAGCCTTCTCAAAAGCCAACTTTGCATTAAGTGTGGGCCAGTCATCTGAGTAATACTTGACAGCTACGCGTTTCCCTTCAGAATCCAGAAGAAGAATATTCTTTATTGAAGGACAGGACTCCTATATAGAAAAGAAAATTAGACAACAAGGCAAACAGGAGATGTGAGTTTACGAAGAGAACAAGCATCTTTCAAATGAAAAGATGAAAATAAAAACATTACAAAAATTCCCAACCTTGAAATTCATTCAGAATCGTCTCCAACATTACTGGCTTTTAATTCGAGAAATTGTTGAATTCTATAGATCTCTAGTCGTAAGTATCATTTCATTTGCAGAAAGAAAGAGAAGATGCAAAACCAACCCCAAAGGCACAGAAAAAGCAACTTGGGTACCGGTTCTGTCTAAGAGAACGCGTTTGGAACATGGAGCAAAAGTCTCCTGATAGTTGAGACCAATTCTTCAAATCTACCCAGCATTACATCCAAAAATTCTTCAAAGTGTGTCACTATAAATAAATTAACCTTTGTACTTTTACAGATCTAATTTAAGAACTGAGAACGGATAGGAATACAGTGACCCGTAAAAAGTAGGGCGGAAGTTGAACTAAAAAACGCAACAATTGGAGAAAGAACAAGTTTTGTGTTCTCTCGAAATAGTAGGAACAGAACTCCAAGAATGGGCAGATGGAAGAACGCTCATTCGAACTGCAAATATGTTTAAAACATCAAAAGGCATTTCAGTTTGGTTTCATGTTTCTTGCAGAAGCAACTTAGATTCGTGCACCGTAGATGAGACCTACCGGATCTAAGATTAGAAAATGAAAAAGGAGTTGTCTTTAAATATTAGAATGGGGAAACAACAGAGCATTTTGAAATGGGAGATGGATTCTCTTACCGCCATTAGTGAACTCTGAAACCCGAGCAGCAGCAGAGCTAGATCCGAAGACGCTGCAACGTATACGGTATAGTGGTATACCAGTTGACTCCTTCAGGCTCTGTGCTTTTTATTTCTCTCTGTTATTCTCTCTATAAAAACTTTGGCTGTGCGGACAACGGCCTGAGCTGTTGGGAACGTTTTTTGAAAGGACACGTCAACCCATTCAGTCCCCTATTTGTCTTTTTATTGAAAAGAACAATAAGCATAATTACTCTTTTATCCCCATCCATGGATGACTCCAACAGCCAAAGATTTTTCCGGCGATAGCTGCGTCAAATTGGCGTGCCGCGCTGCATAGCTTATTGGGCTATGATGGGTTGGGATGAAGGAAGATTTGTTCTGACTTCGCGATCACTCCACGTGGCAAAAGCAAATAGCTCGACACTAAAAATAGCGTACCCAGGGCGCAAGCACCAAAGGGAAGAAATCAGCAGTCCGAATTCCCTACGAGGAGCCCGACCTCCCTACGAGGAGCCCGAACTCTCCCTTGGGCCCCGAGCCACACAAGGCAGTGACCCGAACTGGCCCGCCTCATGGCAGTTCGGGACACTCCCCTATCCGAACTCAAGACTTCACCTCGTTCGCCACTCCAGCACTTCGCCTCCGAGACGCCGAACTGAACAAACGTACCATACCTGACACCGAGGAGGTCCGTATCCAAGGGGCGGCGCATCTGAGTGACTTGGGATCTGACGCTTGACAACCGCACTTCAACGGTCACCTACCACCGCCACCTGCCACCGTCATCGCCAGTCGCAGAGACAGCTCCGACAAAAGGGAGCAGTGGCGGTTCTGACCAGCAGAGGGGATGACACCCGAACTGGCAGGAGACCAGCTTAGGAGTGAGTGCACGAGGTGGGTATAAAAGGCCCCCTACCCCCAAGAACAAGGTATGCAAACTTTGCGCTATTTGGTTTTATCTTGCCTTTGAAGGATTCTAACTTGAGCTTCGGAGCCTCCACACCGGGTTCCCCCCGGAGCTTCCTCATCTTCTCTGTTTCAGGTTCCCTGCAATTCCGTTCAGAGGCAAGGTCGTTGATAGCTAAGACCGGCCGGATTGCGCACCATCAATTGGCATCGTCGTCTGTGGGAAACGCTTCAAAAAGCCTCCCTCCAAACTCACATAACCTATTTTCTTCAAAAAACCCAACACTCGTGGCTTCTTCCAGCAACGCCGGACATGGCACGGAGACAAACACCACCGGGGAACAACTTCAAGTCCCCGTGGTGTGCGTCGGACAGTTCACCATCCCCCTTTCGGTGGATGGGATCCCCAGCTTGAATGCGCCACAAGCAGTGGCGCCCGTAAACCTTCTTGCCATGAGCATCCCCTTTCCTCCCCCTATCGAGACAACCTTTACTGAACCAACTGCCGTCCCCCTGGCAACCAGCCAAAACCGGTTGGATGACCCGATGCAGTGCATGCGGGCAATGCAAGCCCAAATGCAACAGTTCTAGCAACACCAGCTCCATCAGCACCAAGTACTGCACAACATCCCCCAGTATCACTATCAACAGCAGTTCCCCCAACTGCCGCTGAACCAACCACTACTTCCACCTCGGCACCCTGCTCCGAGGCCGGTTAAGGCCTCCCCACAGGATGGACGCCCCCACCAGGGAAAGGCCTCCAGGCCCCAGAACCCCCCTAACAGCCAGGCCTCGTCCCCAGGCCGAAGAGAGAGAAAAATCATCCCTGCCTCGCAGCTCGCAGGCGGGTCAGGAACCTCGCCCGCAAGGTCGGCACCTCGGCGCTCCAGGCCC